CCGCAGGATCGTTCCTATCTAAACCATTTTATACAAATCCATTATTTACAGAGTTAACCTTGACATAACACAAGACATAAAACTAACCTGCCATGGATAAAGCAGGGTGACCAGTGGCCCTGGGGTTCTGTTCCCTTCTTGCCTCATGTGGCAACCAGAAAACCCAGCAATATGGGAAATACCCATGGTAGAACATAGTCATAGCTGTGCCTACATCATCCCTGACCAAGGCCAGTCCAACCTCTTCTTGTGATCTCTAGCAATGGACAATCCACAACTTTCTTGAGCAGTGTCTTTCACTGCCTCACTGTTCTAATAGTGAATACATTTTTCCTTTTATCCTGTGGATTAAAGAAGTGGATATTTTTGGTTGGATTGGAAAAAAAACACTGAGAGGCTGTGGAGAGGCTCTGAGCAGGCAAGGGATGTCTTGGATCGGCAGAGTTGAATGCTAGAAGGGCTCAAGCCAATTGGCTGTGGAAGCTATGAAAGAACTAGGGGGTGTTTGGGGTTGTGAGGAGCCAGCTATAAATGCTAGATTAAGAGAGGGAGAGGTTGTAACTAAGAACAGGAACAAGTAATACAGGAGGTATTGTAATGTAAATGTAAACAATGGTGTGTACATGTAGTTTTGGAAAAAAGAGTAGTGCCATTACAATTAAAACTGCAAATTTGTAGAGGTAAGGAGTGCAGGTGTCTGTCTACCTAGAGCCCTCTTACTATCTTCCACAACAACAAATGGCATTGATGTTTTGTGTTGCTTACTTTAGGTATTGTTCTTCAATTTAAGATTGTATATCACAGCTGAATGTCTAGTATTAATACTGATTTTGTGTGGAGGCATGTGTATGCACCCATACAAATATTTCTCTTTGCATCACAGGCAAACATTTGAAAGCATAGAATTAAATTAATTATGTATCTGTAGCTTGAATTCTACTGGTGTAGAAGATTTTTGATTATAAATCTTATTCTTTAGGTGGGCAGATATTGTCACTGACCTAAACACTCAAAATCCAGAATACTTGGACATTCGGCACCTGGAGAGGGGACTGCAGCATCGAAAGACAAAGAAGGCAAGTTTGTTATGGTCAGTTTGTTAGATTGGGAAAGTTTTCTTAGTAGATAGTTTTTCCCAGGAAATTTATATAGCTTGAGAGGCTTTAACTTGCTCGGGTGAAGTCATCTGAGTGATATAACTGCTGTTAAATGTCAGTAACTAATACCAGAGTTAAAGATGTTGCCAGACACAGGAGTTTAGTTCTGTTTTCACAACCTGTGATATGCCAGAACAAGCTATTGGCTATCATTATATAAGAGGTGGTAGTATATGATATGATGGAAAGTTACAAGTCTGTGTAGTTTTCTAAGGGAGAACTACATCTTTGGGAAGAATTGCTTTTTAAGAAGAGACTTTTGAAACCTGGCAACTTGAAATAGGGTGGAATGGATAAGAGAGGTAGTTCTGTTTTTTTAGGCAAATATTCAAAAGTTCTTTATAGGTAATGCTACCACAAGTAACTGTTGAAGGAGTTATCTCTGCACACCTTTTTATGAAGACCTCTTTTTTTGTTTGTTTTTATTAGGTAGGAGGAAATCTTCATTGCATCATTGCGTTTCAGAGACTTAACTGGCAAAGATTTGGTCCTTGGAACTTTCAGTTTGGAAATGCTAGACAAGACAGGCAAGGACAAGTAATTGCCAAATCAGAGAGCGAAGACAATATCTCCAAGAAACAGCACGGACGTCTGGGCAGATCTTTCAGTGCTGGTTTCCATAAGGAATCTATGTGGAAGAAGTCTAATCTTCGTGACAGGAGGAACAGTGGATATCAGAGCTATACAGATTATGATGGGAATGATTAAAATTAACTTTAGCATATCAGATGTCTTGTTCTAAAGTTAATTTTAATCTAGACATAGTAGGGGATTTATTAATCCTAGAATACATAAGTATAGAAATCATGGTACAAACGGCAGTCTCATGATTATTTGATGTATATGCTTGTATTACAGTGGCGCTGGGTAAGATCAGATGTAAACTAAGATAAGCACAGATTATTGTACTTTTATAATCAAAGTAAATGTAATAAGCAAAATCAATCAGTAATTTTTTTTCAAGAATTGTATATTTGGGACACTGAAAACAAAAGCAAATTGGGGCACAGCAGTTTATGTAGAGACGTCTTTGAAAAGAACATGTAATACTCAAAGCATGAGATTTTATTTAAGATTTTTCAACATGATTATTCTATATATTCTTGGAGGGTAAAAAGTAAACATTGCCATCTTGTTTAACATTTTTATTTTAAGGTTGCCATTGCCCAGGTAAAAAACTATAAAGATTTTCAGACTTATGAAATGATCTCAGTCTAGTTCCCAGTGGAGCGTCAGGATCACTTAAAATAACCCTAGTTTGACACAAAGGTAAGATAGGCTTGTAGTACTAGTATTGTATCATTACTCCCAAGCAGTCTGCTTTGTGGGCTCCTTACTCCCAGTCTTTTTTTCAGAGCATTACATTTACTTCATTTTATATGGGCTTTCTCAGTAAAAATGAAGTTGGATTGGCCACTAACCAATTAAGCCAAGCACTGTTCTTTTGGCAATTTTCTCCCCTTACATTGCTTTTCAAAATGTCTTTGCCACTCTTTAATTACAAAAAAGAGCCCGTGCTGTTGAATGCTGAAATGTAGCGTGGCATGAGGCAGAAGTTGGTTCCTTATTCCCAGCTCCCGGTTGCTTTTTCAAAGCTAACTAATACCCAATAAAAGCTTGTTATTTATAATTACACAGTCTAAGTTTAGAGAGAATTTCATTAGCTTTGTATATTTACTAATTAACAGAGAAAACATGGATCCCTGATAAAGATCCCCAATTTTCGGATTTAAAAAAATAACCCAAAATCCACATTTTTCCATGACCGAAATGAAATGCCACATATATAGATATGTATATAGTAGTGTTTCATTTTAATCATGGGAAAATGTGGATTTTGGGTTACTTTTTAAAAAATGAATACTGAGGATTTTTTTTTTTTTTTTTTTCAGAGAAAACCAGGATCGCTGCTAATTAACATGTAAAATAATATCCTGAATCAAGTACGGTGCCCTAAATGAGGCTTAGATAAGGATGGGGTTTTACGGGGCAAAATGCTTCTTGGGCCACCACAGACTTCATGTTGATGCCAGGGGCCTGTCCCAAAGAAGCCTGAGTGCAGTCTTGCCCAGCCCAAAGCACGGTTCGGCTGTGCCAGGCTGCTAACTGACAGCCCCTCCCCGCTCCATGCCCACTGTACTAAATATATGGACTTGAATAAGGAACTGGCTTTTGGATTTGGGATTATGGCTGGAAATCCATTTTTGGCCACCCCGCACCATACCTCTGTGCCACTGAGACACTCTTCCAAACATCCCTGCCCGGCCCAAAGCATGATTTGTGTATGCCAGGCTGCCAGCTGACAGATTCCCCTGGCCACTGTACTAAGTAAAAGGGCTCAAATAAGGAACTCACTTTTGGGATGGGGTTATGGCTGGCCCTTGCCCCCTAAATCTCTTTCTTGTATCTTGCATTTAGGTCTTCTGTATTTAAGTAGATGATATGGTGCTAGTTAAAACATGTCACCAGTCCTGTTAGTTCAACAGAAAACATGAGGCGTGCAAATTTATCAGAGTTCACTAGAACAAAGGTTTTGTCATTGTAGGTACAAAGTAGTTGCCGTAACACACATTAGTGAGCATTTTGAATATTTCCACAAACTTGGTTGAACTGAGAGCTGGCATTACTATGATAGACTTTCAGAATTAGAAAAGGTAGGATGTGGAGATACACCAACAACTGAAGAAGAGTTCTCCAAAGCTCTTCAGAAGGAAAGTGTACCAAGCCATGTTGCTGCTGTATGAATGTCTTAGAAACAATAAGGACATCTGCAAGGATACACATGGATACTTAAATACTTACCAAAGTCTCACTCTCAGGGAATTAAGAACATTGTACTGGTGCTAATGCAGGTCAGGTTGTGTTTGCCTGCTACCATAAGCTACTGTAGAAGGTACTACCTGTGACTGTTAATGCCAAGTGCTGGATGGTGGTTAAATAACCTGGCAACCTTTAGGGTACCAATGGCCTTGTGCAGAAGAGCACCTTAGAGGGAGATATTAGACTTATCCCTCGTGCAGTAAATGCTTCCAAAACATTGTGGCACCAAAATTCACTCCATTGTAGGGTTGACTGGGCTCTTTAACCCAGGTTGGTGTGGCCATAGGTCAAACCCAGGTCGGTGTTTGATGAAAAACACAGGTGTGGGTAAAAGGAAAAGATTCCAGACACTCCCTAGATGTTTTCAATGAACTCTTCAGATTAAAAGCACTCCTGAATAAAGTGCTCTGTAGGGGGTCTACATGATACTATGATCTGAGACTTCAAGAGGCCGAGAAGCTGATGAAGATGTTGAAGTGTGGGCCCGAGGACCGAACCCTGGGGGATCCCACTGCCCACATCCCTCCAGGCTGAAAATAACCCATCCCCCACCACTCTCTGGGTGTGACCCTCCAGCCAATTGGTGACCCATCTGACTATGTAGGCATCGACACCACAATCTCCTAATTTTTTAATGAGGATGGGGTGAGAGAGTGTTGAAGGCCTTCCTAAAGTCCAGAAAGACTATGTCCACCGCGACACCTGCGTCCAAGGATCTTGTGACCTGGTCATAGAAAGCCACTAGGTTTGTCTGATAGGACCTGCCTCTGCTGTTCAGAGCCCCCCGATAGCACGGGGGGCTATCAGTTGGCAGCCCGGCAGGGCCCAATTGGGCCTTGGGCCAGGCAAGGCTCTGGTCAGAGTTCTCCAGGAGAGTCCCCTGGAGGCTCAGAGGTATGGTGTGAGGTGGCCCAAAAAGGATTTCCAGCCATAATCCCGGCCCCAAAACCAGGTCCTTATTCCAGCCCGTATATTTAGTACTGTGGGCATGGGGAGGCTGTCAGTTAGCAGCCTGGCACGGCCAAACTGCTTTGGGCTGGGCAGGACAGCGCTCAGGGCTCTTAGGGACAGGCCCCTGGTGGCATTGACCTGGAGTCTAGGGTATTTTGCCCCATAATCCCATCCTAATTAATAAGTATTTTGCCCCCCAATCCCATCCTAATCTAATCCTCATTGAGGGCTCTCTAGATGCAGGACATTATTTTAGATAATAATTAGTAAACATACATAGCTGATTAAATTCTCTCTCTTTGGAATGTGTAATTCATGAATAACAAGCTTTTATTGGGGATCAATTAGCTTTGAAAAAGGAACTGGGAATAAGGAACCAAGGGGCAGCCCTATGCTTTGTGCCAGCAGAGGATTTATTTCTTCAGGTGTCCATAAGAAGCCCCTTCCATTGGGGCTAACAGAAGCACTTGCCCCAACACCCCTGAGTGGTTACTCCTGGGATAGAGGTGGTATCTTTTATTAGGCTACCTAGATAGTTGCAAACACATTTCTTTGCTTTTTTAATTCCCATTTTTGGAGCTATCTAGTTGGTCTAATACAAGCTGACACCTCTACCCCAATAGTTGTGTCTGCCTATGTCTTTAGAGCAACACTGTTATAACCAACATCCCTGAGCCGTTACAACCGTACCCAAAAGCCAGTGCCCCATGCCTCAGGATCTGTGTGTGCCTGAGGGCGTGTCCAGGACGGTATGGGGGTTTGTGGGCTGCTGCTTTCGGTAGTCAACCCCCCGCCCCCCCGGAGACTTAGACAATTTTGTGCATGGAATAAAATGTTTTCTACTCTGTGGTTCGCCTCGGTGTTGGGAAGGGCCCCGCTCTCGTGGCTGCCTTGGCCCAAATCCTCCTCAGCAGGGAGAGGTCGGGTGCCCTCAGCATGGTCAACCCCTCACCCACGTGCCCCGGGCGGAGGGGCAAGAGCGCGCAACGCCCCACTAACCGGAGACCTGGTGGGTGCAGAATGAGGCGGGCAGGATGCAGCGGGCCGCACGCATGCTCAGAGCACGCAGGGAAAGGGGAGGGGTTCGGCCTCGGGACCACTTCCCAGTGGGCAGCGCGGAGCCGCCGGGCATGCGCAAGCGCAGTGACCCCTCGGCGGATGGGATCCTACAGGACAGGGGCGGGGCCCTGAGGGCGGAGCTCCCGGCTTCTCTGCAGGGCTGGCGCCCGCATGGGGCCTAGTTGGCTGCTGTGGAGACGGGGGGCCTTGGGGGCTGCCTGGGGTGAGTGAGACTTGGCTCTTCAGGGCTGTGCATTGGGTCCCAGGCACCGTCGGGGATGGGGATGGGGATGGGGATAGGCATAACATAGTGGGTAGAGGTGAGGATACAGGAGGAGTGGGGATGGAGGGGGGTTGGAGTGTATTTTCCTATTCGATTATAACCCCGGGAAGATTTTGAGTCATCCCTGACTGATTCCCAGTAGCCCCCAGTAATCTGGCGTGGCTCTCCTTCCTCCCCAGTATAAGCTTTTTATGCCTTCTTCCTGTTACGAACAAACATGTTTGTCATCAGAGCATCAGACCGCTCATTGCTTGGTCAGACTGCAGCTCCGTCTTGCCCAGTGTCAGTGCCACAGTGAGCGGATGCTGCAAGGGAGAGTGAGCAGGGTCTGACCAGGGTTTTTTTTTCCACTCTTCCTCTCTCACTTGCAGTCTCCAGCATTTAAGGTCTATGCAGTTTTGATCTGGAGGCCGTGCCCTTAGCTCCCTCATCAATAGCTAACATCCATGTTCATAAGCAGGATTTTTCTGACTGTGAAGTAAATATATTCCCTCATTTCCCAGAGATTCAGTCTCTGAAAAGAAAAAAAGAAAAAAACTAAGGAAGAGCGATGGGAGTCCAAGGACTCTGGAAACTGCTGGAGTGTGCGGGAAGACCTATAAACCCAGAAACACTGGAAGGAAAGATTCTTGCTGTTGGTATCCTTAAAGCCCAGTGTTGATGTACTTAGCTTGTAAAGAGCAATATTTTAAGCAGTTCATTTGATTTGCTGTTGTTTTCTATTTAATATTAAATCATGACAGATGTATGTATTTTTTTGACAGGCGACTATACGCATACAGACATATATTTTTGTTTTGTATGGAGACCCAAAATACATTTGTATAT